AACCAGAACAAAAGGTGATAAGCGCAGTGGAAGTTTATGACCGTTTTAAAGGGTTTTATGGATGCTGAATGGAGCTCACTTCATTTTCAGTTTGAAAGACAAAACAAAAAAAGTTGAAAAAGTTAAATATTTGAAAAAGTATAAGTTACTGAAAATCCAAAAGTCATAACCGAAATGTTCTGAAGGAGCTGAAGGTTTTGATGTAGAAAATTATGAAATTGCTCAAAATTTATTATATGCATTTCACACAATAAACAAGCAAAAGATAAATAAATGAACAAAACACTTTTAAGATTTGTTTACAGCCACATTCATTCAGGATAACTGCCAGTTGAAAAAGAAAAATACGATAATCTGTTGCATTTTCTGCAAACAAGCTCCTCTTCCCTTTTAGTTTTAAAGCAGGACAGGTAAAGTTCCAGTAGATGGCGACAAAGCGTAAAGAAATCAATTATGTTAAAAATGAAACCCACGTTCAGAAAATACCAATAAAAGCAGATATCAGTAATAAAGCCCWGTTACATCTCTTTACAGGACTGATTATTCAGATACATTCCATCCACTGTTGTATGAAAACAATCAGATCATTTCTTTTCCAGTAGTCAGGACAAAATATTAAATTTGTCAAACATTAACCACTTCTTTTGAAATCTTGCCAGAAGTCCAAATGACACATTTTTATAGTTCAACGAAAATGTGAAAAGTCTTTGAGTGAATGTAGCAATCAGTGTTTTGCAATGCAGAACTTTTTATTGTTAGATGTGATTCAAGGAAAAAAAATGTAACAAATTGAACTTTTAAGTTACTGGAAGCCAAACCTGTCACTGTTTAGACAAAACACTAAACTATAAAAAGCATATTGTAAAAACTTTACTTTTTTAATCTGCAAACTCCAACACTAAACATTATTTTTRATCATTTCCTGCACAATAAATGTCACTATTTGGGATTTGAGAGCATTTAGATATGCTGGGCTACCATTAAATCAAAGACTTAAAACACACATTTAGGTTTTGCACTTTATAATTTTTCCATTTTGGTAAGTATTTACCGCAATAAAAAATGTGAGTGGGTTTGGTAGTAAATATTTGGTTTAGTTCAGTCACATTCCTTTTTATGCTGAAAGATGACAGAAGACAAAAAAAAAGGTTGGCAACTGTGGCTTTTTTTAATTTACTGTGTAAAGACTTCTTTGTAAAAGCATTGGTCAATATTAAATAAAATTGGAGAAGTGGAATGTATGGTCAATGCAGTTTTAATTGTGCTTGTTTAATCAGCCAAAATATTTTTATATACATATWCAGTAYRTCACTCATGTATGCCACCACCAGCAAATTCAGTTTGCTTCMGTTTATTTACAAAGCACCATAATCACAACAAAGGTCATCTCAGGGCACTACACAAAGAAACAGGTCCAGTCCAAATGCATATACATGCTATTTGATTCAATCCAGTGTTGGTATGAAGACAAACCTTTTTGGGACCAGAAAAAAATAAAAAATTAAAATAAAAGGAATTTGGTGTAATCTACAAAGATCTGTGCAACTAGTGTTCCATTGCTGCTACATATACACACATTTTCTGGCCCTCATGAGATATGT